ATAAAAAATAAATGTTATGTATAATTATACTCTTGATATAATATTTAATGTATAATGATATCTATTTACAGTTACTTACTTTTTTATTTTTAGTTTCGTACAAGCGATGCGTATGATGTAACGCAAATAGTCATTAGACAATATAGAATGCGCATTGCAAAAAAGTATTTCCGGGATTGAACTTCTTTTTTTATTAAATTGTAAACCGCAAGTTTAGAAATAAAAAGATTTATTTTGAAAATGTTCCTTATTCGTCAAAATTATTAACATAAATTTACTTTTTATGTAAATGATAGTATAACTGGGTCAGGATCTGGCATTGTCATTTTAAGTACTGTCTGGTGACGTCAGTTAACATTGAAAGGTCATTTTCAGCGTTGTTAATATTAAGTGAAAACGTTCCCGTTTTCGGGGTCTACGTCTAAATCCAGGGTATATATGAAACCCTATTTAACAAACATCAAAAACCTTAAGTGGAAGGCCGTATGGGGGAGTTGCTCTCCTATGGGACCGGAACATATTCCCTAGCGCGGACATTGTGCAGTGTAACAATGATCGTATGGTTGCGGTCAAGCTTGTGCGTGATGAGCGAAGTATACTAGTATTTAGTGTGTACATGCCTACCGATTGTGAAGACAATTTCCCGGTAATGGCACAGTGTCTCGCTAATATAAGTGCGGTAATTGATAGTGCGGATGTCGAAAGTGTGTTCGTGTTAGGGGACTTTAACGCGCACCCTGGTACGCGTTTTTATAAAGAGCTTATGGATTACTGTACTGAAGAATTGTTATCATGTATTGACTCTAAGAAATTAGACTTAAGCACGTATACTTTTGTAAGTGATGGGTCGGGCTCGCAGAGATGGCTCGATCACTGCCTGGTGTCCGCTGCGGCTGAACCATCGGTATGTAATGTTAGTGTACTATATGATGCATATCTATCTGATCACCTACCTCTAGTAATACATGTAAGATTAAGCAATATTATTTGTAAAAGACTGATTTTAGATAGTGGGACTGATTGCAATTTTAAGTATAAGTGGGGTATTAGAAACAAGGAGCAATGTAATAAATACTGTGAAATATGTACTGAAAATTTGGGTTTAGTGTATAGATGTGAGGAGTATAACTTGTCATGTAATATTAATATGTTATGTAATGATGTAAAACATCTAAGAATCATTGATAAACTCTATTGTGATATAGTTAATGTATTACAAACTGCTGCTGAGCGCACATATGCTGCCAAAGCTAGTACGAAGCGGCATATAATTGGTTGGAATTATCATGTTAGACAGTACCATGTACAGGCAAGGCAAACTTTCTTACAGTGGAATTCATATGGTAGGCCTGGTTCAGGGTTTTATTACGATCAAATGCGCATAGCTCGTATAGAGTTTAAACGTGCGTTAAAATTTGTTCAAAATAATCAAGAGAAAATTAAAATGAGTATATTAGCGCAGCACGCATCGTCGAAAAATTTTGGTGGCTTTTGGAAAGAAGTTAAAAAGCTCAACCCTAAAACTAGTATACCTGTCAGTGTGCAAGGTGAGTCGAACAAGAGAAATATCGCAAACAACTTTAGTGCACATTTCAATTTAAAACCGATTACCCCAAATCCAGTTAGCTATACATCGTTGTCGAGTTCTTATGGAAAGGATGAGGGGGTTTTTCAGGTCACAGCCAAAGATATTGTGGAGGTTCTCAGAGCAATGAAGCGTGGAAAATCCCCGGGACACGATGGCTTGAGTATTGAGCACTTATTGTACGCAGGTCGGTATATTGCTGATACTTTGGCCTTACTCTTTAATCTTTGTTCGCGACACCAGTACCTACCTGCAGAGCTTATACGTACGATAGTTGTGCCCATAATTAAGAACAGAACGGGCGATGTTACTAGTATGTCTAACTATAGACCTATATCGCTGGCAACGGTAGTGGCCAAGGTGCTTGAGCGTCTGATACACAAGGTGTTAAGTCCTGCACTTAAGTTGGATGATGGACAGTTTGGTTTTAGACCTGAGGTATCAACTGACATGGCTATTTTCTCTCTAAAACAGGTTGTATCGCAGTATGTGGAACAGGATACAAGCGTTTATGCTTGTTTCCTTGATCTGAGCCGCGCATTTGACACAATTAATCACGACTTGCTATGGAGGAAACTAGATAGGTTTAAAGTTGAAGCTGGGGTTGTTGGACTGATTAGATACTGGTACTCTAATCAGTCTAACAATGTCAGGTGGGAGACTGCGATGTCGGAGAGCTATAGGCTGTCTTGTGGCGTTAGACAAGGTGGGTTAACCTCTCCTGATCTATTTAATGTTTACATGAATGACTTGATTGTGGAGCTGAGTGGGACGGCAGTTGGGCTTAGGCTTGGTGATAGGTATGTCAACAACTTGAGTTACGCTGATGATATGGTTCTGCTCAGCCCCTCAATCAAGGGTATAAGAAGACTATTGGCGATTTGTGAGAAATATGTGGATTTTAAATTACTTTTGTCAAAGCTAGAACGTTACGGAATAAGGGGCAATATATTGAGTTTAATTGAATCATATTTAATAAATAGACAACAAATAACATATATCAAAAAAATATGTCCACGCACCAAGACTGAGCTGACATATATGTCTAGTCCTAGAAAGGTACGATACGGTGTGCCACAAGGAAGAGTACTAGGGCCGCTATTGTTTATAATTTACATTAACGACATACCCAGTATAATAAAACATCCCACAACACTTTTTGCAGATGATATAACAGTAACTTTTACGAACCAAAATATATCGTCATTAGAAATGGAAATCAATCTAAGTTTAGAAAAGATAATAGACTGGCCAAACAAAAATAACCTCCAAATAAATTTAGAAAAAACACAAACTCTTTAAACAACGAATTGATTCCATTGACCTCAAAATCCAATACTGCAATAAAATTATCACTGAAACCGATCACACTAAATTCTTAGGACTCTGGTTGGATCGAAATTTACGATGGACTTATCACGTTGATCAATTAGTTAAGAAATTAAATCAATATCAGTACGCTCTACATAATTTAAGTAAAATAGCCTCTCATGAAGCAGTTCTTAGTGCCTACCATGCGTATGTATCTTCGACGCTACGATATGGCATCATATTTTGGGGAAATTGTACAGATAGAGAATTAATATTTAAAACCCAAAAAAATGCTTACGTGCCGTGTGTCAAATAAAGGTGTCTGATAGCTGCCGACCATATTTTGTTAAGCTTGAAATTATGACAGTGCCATGCTTGTATATTTATGAAGTTGCACTATTTGTAAAAAAGCACATCCATTTGTTCACAACTCTAAGTTCAAAACGCCATCAGAACACTATCCTAGTCAAGACCCATAAATCCGCATTATTCACTAAAAGTGTTTTGGGAATGGCACCTAAAGTCTTCAATAAAATTCCAAGTAGCGTACGAAATATACCTCATTTAAATAAATTCAAACGTGTCGTATCCGATTACCTTATAAAAAAGGCCTACTACTCAATAAATGAGTTCCTGAACCAAGTTGGATGATGGACAGTTTGGTTTTAGACCTGAGGTATCAACTGACATGGCTATTTTCTCTCTAAAACAGGTTGTATCGCAGTATGTGGAACAGGATACAAGCGTTTATGCTTGTTTCCTTGATCTGAGCCGCGCATTTGACACAATTAATCACGACTTGCTATGGAGGAAACTAGATAGGTTGAAAGTTGAAGCTGGGATTGTTGGACTGATTAGATACTGGTACTCTAATCAGTCTAACAATGTCAGGTGGGAGACTGCGATGTCGGAGAGCTATAGGCTGTCTTGTGGCGTTAGACAAGGTGGGTTAACCTCTCCTGATCTATTTAATGTTTACATGAATGACTTGATTGAGGAGCTGAGTGGGACGGCAGTTGGGCTTAGGCTTGGTGATAGGTATGTCAACAACTTGAGTTACGCTGATGATATGGTTCTGCTCAGCCCCTCAATCAAGGGTATAAGAAGACTATTGGCGATTTGTGAGAAATATGCGCGAGAACATAATCTAGTATATAACGCGAAGAAGACTGAAATGCTTATATTCAGATCAGGAAGAGGTCCACGTAATGTCCCACCAGTTTGGCTAGGAGGTCAGATTGTTAGAATAGTAGAAAGTTTCAGGTACCTTGGTCACATGCTGACGTCAGATATGAAGGACGACGCTGACATAGACAGACAACGCAGGGCATTGTCAGTCGTTGGCAATATGATAGCTAGGAGATTCTTTAAAGCCAATGCCCAGACGAAAGTTCACCTATTTAGAACGTACTGTCAAAGTTTCTACACGTGCCAACTTTGGACTCGTTACACGAGGAGGTCTCTGGATGGTATTCGTGTCCAGTACAATAACATCTTCAGACAGCTAATGGGTCTAGCCCCGCACTGTAGTGCGTCGGGTATGTTCACAGAAGCGAGGCTGGACACGTTTAATGCTATACAGAGAAAGCGAATCGCTGGATTCTTGTCTAGAGTTGGCACTTGCACAAACAGTATCATCAAGGAGTTATACAACCGATTGTATGCCACGTCTGTATATAAAAAATGGATGCAAATTGCAGCGTAATGCTGTTCATGTTATTAAGGTTATTATTATGTTTTAGTTTATGATGAATTGTTTTTTTTTTGTTTTTGTTTCTTTCTTACTTTTTCTAGATAATATAAGTATGTGCTGTTTTTTTTTTTTTGTTCCTAGTAGTATAAGATATGGAGTGTACAATCAATCCGAAATAAAGAATTTATTATTATTATTATTAATTAAACATTTAGCACAAATATGTTAAAATTTTAAAAACAACAAATTTCATGAAAACCAAATGTATTGATCTTTAGGTCAAAATTGTGACATTATTTTGACTTGCAAATTCAGTTCATTGTAGCAATTTGCGGAATAACGAATTAATTTATTGAAATTATACCTCTACTTATAAATATGCAAAACTATACAAACTATTTTGAGTTTTCTAGTCATTCTATTTCGTTCCTTGTTACACAAAGGACGTACTAAAAAAAATATTAGATTTTTTATCTGATAATAGTGTTTGTGTATTTAAAGATGGCGCCGACATCTATAGCTGCGGACAGGCTGCAGTCGGGACACCGGTTGTCGCATCCTCTGCCCGGAGACGAGGTCCTCATCACGGGAATATCGGGATACTTTCCCGACTCGGACTCCGTCATAGACCTGCAGGAAAACCTTTTCAATAAGGTCAAATATTTATTTACTTCTTCATGAGAATTGTGTCTGAATAGTGTCCCGGGATGTTGACTAAACAGACCCTCCGGCACGGCCCCAACTCAACAGATAACTTGTCATTTAAATATGAATTTTAAACTGTATATCGTATGGCATATTTCCTAATGTCAATATAAAAAGCTACAAGCGCGCCGTCTGCGCTCTTACACAACTTTTTTGTATTTTTTTCAAACAAATAAATATGTCATAAGACATACGATTTAAAGTTCATATTTAAATGACCAGTTAATTGCTTGCTGGGTTATAGCCGTACCGGAGCCGTGCCGTAGTCGTGCCGGAGCCGTGTCGGTGCCGTGCTTGTTAGGTGTGCGACGACTTTGACACGTTTTGCATGACTCGACAGTTAAACTAATTCGATGGCTTATTGTAAATGCCTCGTAGGTGGATTTACTTACCAATGATGCTCGTCGTTGGAAGCTGGCTCACCCTGAGATCCCACAGCGTACCGGCAAGATCAACAACCTCAATAAGTTTGATGCGTCCTTCTTCGGTGTCCACTATAAACAGGCCCATACAATGGACCCTATGTGTAGGATCCTGCTGGAGAAGGCTTATGAAGCAGTTATTGATGCTGGTGAGTTAAATCTGAATGAATAAAAATCAATAATGTTGAAATGTAGGTATGTGCGTGCATAACTTTCAAACGACGGCACCAAATTGGCTATTCTTCTTTCATTACGTCCGTTCTTTCTTTAAGTCATTCCCGTTATAAATAAGTATCGAATATTTTCAATTTCTTGTTTATAGGTGTGAACCCTAAAACATTGCGTGGCACAAAGACCGGTGTGTTTATTGGAGCTTGCTTCTCAGAATCAGAAAATCAGTGGTTCTACGAGAAGGCGCAGGTCAACGATTTCGGAATTACTGGGTAAGGTAAATTAATACTTTTACTAGTTTAGGGAAGGTAGTGTAGTCAAAGTAAATAAAAAATATCAAGGGGAAAAATAATCGAATGGGTGAGGTGGGAGGGAGTGTCAGACTATTACTGATAAAAAACCACCCTGTTCCTACTCCTGCCCTTCAAGTCGGAGCCCCGGCAACCCCTTAAGTCCTCCGCGGCTCTGTATCGGCATTAAGCCCTATTGGGCCCCATCCGTAGTGGTCTGATGGCTCTTTGAGGCGTGCGTGGAACGCGACGCACCGTACGTTTGGGTCTGGTTTTGGTCGGGCGACGAGCCACCATGCTCGCTGTTCGCAGGCCCGTGCTTACGGTGGCCGGCATCCTTCGCTACCTCACGCGCCCTGCCTCCTCCTTAGCTAGCATGACTGCTTCGCAGAAGGAGGAGACGGCATCGGTTGACAGACGGTCGCTATCGCCGATCGCGTCCCTGAGGGCACAGCTGTGCTCAGCCCATGCAGGGCATTCCCCTACTGTGTGTTCCACCGTGTTCTCAGGGCGGGCCTCGCAGTGATGACACCTGGGCGCTTCTCTCGCCTTATCAGATACAGGTACCTCCCGAAACTTCCATGTCCGGTGAAGACCTGCGTCAGGCGGTAGGTGAGGACGCCGTAGAGTCTCTCATGCCACTTCTCAAAGAGGGGACTTACCGCTGCAATGGCAGCGAGCCGAGCCCTTGGTTGCGACAGTCGTTGCTGCCATTCCGCCATGAGATCGCGCCTGAGCTTTTCCCGCCACGCACTAATTTGGTGTGGCAGCGGAGTTTTGCCCCCTGCAACGTGCCTCCGCGCGTAGGGAAAATACGCGCGCGAGCATCTTCACCTTCAGATCCCACCTCCAGATGGTAATCCGGCAAGGAGGTTTGCCACCTCTCCGGAGATCGTGCGATATCCGCGGATCATTCGGATCGCCATGACCTTCTGTGACGTGAGCAACGCCTGATAGAGCCGCCGTATGAGGTTCGGCACCCACATAGGGGCGCCGTAGAGAGCCAATGAGAAGAATTTTCTGGTATGGGGCAAAATAAAAAAAAAAATCTAAGTAAATCTTTTTATTTCTGTTTTACCACCAAAACGTCACTTAAGTCTCCTGCTAAAACTGAGTTTTGTAGAAATTACCTCTTTACGTCTTATACACGTATCAATATACATAACTCTATTTTTTTGCCTTGTACTGAATAATCATTTTTAATATGGACCCGGGTACGTCCTAAAACTGCGACCAGACACCAAGGAATGGGGAGCAGCATTCTACAAAACTATCAGTGACCTAACTGCGCTCGCTAACCCGACTGCCAAGCGTGGCGAGGATTGTCAAATCCCCCCAATGGACTGCTCAGATAAAACTAGGCCCCCAGTCTCCGGCAGTCCCGCCGTTCCTGGCTATCGTGGTAGCGGTCAGGGTAACGGCGGGACACGGGGTACTATGAATCCCCGGACCCGGAGAAAAGGCGGACCCCCGACGACGACTGGCCTTGGTAACACACAATGTTCGCACTTTGAGAACAGACGAGAAGATTGTTGAGCTGGAAGAAGAACAGATTGCACTGGAGTATTGTGGGGTTGTCAGAAGTTCGACGAGAGGGCGAGGACATCTAACCCTAGGATCCGGCAACCTGCGGATGACTTAACGGGTTGCCGGGGTTCTGGCTCGAAGTGCAGGAGTAGGAACGGGGTGGTTTTTATTCAGTAAGAATCTGACAATCCCTCCCGCCTCACCCGGGCGGGAGAAGTCATTGGATGATTTTCCCCCTCGAAAAAATAAAAATAAAAAAAAATGATCCGGCAACCTATTCTACTAGCGGGAGGGCGACCAACTGTCCCAAGGTGGTGTCGGGTTTCTCGTCCACAAGTCCCTCGTCAGCAACATTCGCCACACGTCACACCATCGGAAGTGTGTCGAGCAGGGTGGCGTATCGAACAGATACCCGTTGAAGGTCATCCAGGTTTATGCACCGTAATGTTGGAAAGATTCCGCCTGATGAAGTCCACGCCCCGACCTTCAAATGCATATCGGTTGCCCCGAGACTTTTCAGATCGAGCTATCAAATCGCTTTGAGTGCCTAGAGAATTGCGACTTTGCGAGTCAGTCGACGAAATTAGCAACAGGTTCGTAGAAACTGTCCATGCGGTCGGATCGAAATTTTTTAGACCCCGCTGAAATGACAGACCTCAGAAGCTGACCGATCGTACCCTCAGACTCACGGCAGAACGACGTGCTATGGTGCTCCAGACCTCTGACGATGCTAGAGCATATCGGCAGCTCAATAGACAGATATGGAAGTCCCTGCGACACGATATCCGCAACTTTAACGTCAATAGGGTTAAAGAAGCGATAGAGCGGAACCAAGGCTCCAAAGTGTTCACTGGGGACATGTCGATTGGGCAAAGCCAGCTATCGAAGCTGAAGGTGGAGGATGGTAGTGTGGCGTTGACGAGAGCCGAAGTTTTGGGGGAGATCGAAATGTTTTATGGTCAGCTATACGCATCGGTCACTAAACCTGTTAACTCAGTCGCAGATTCAAGAGCTAACCTTACCCGCCACTATACCGAGGATATCCCGGACATCAGCGTATACGAGATTAGAATGGCACTCAAGCAGGTTAATTGAACAACAAGGCACCGGCCGAGGAGGGAATCACATCAGAGGTTCTGAAAGCGGGCAAAACGCCAGTACTAAGAGTCCTTTAGCAGCTCTTCAACTCCATCATATTCGAAGGAGTAACGCCGGCGGTATGGAGCAGAGGTGTGGTGGTGCTAATCTTCAAGAAGGAAGATAACAGTCTACTGAAAAATTACAGACCCATCTCACTTTTGAACCATGTCTACAAGCTGTTTTCGAGGGTCATTACGAATCGTCTCAAGTCGGTTTCCGGAAAGGCCACATGCTGCAGTAAGTTATACAGAAGACCGAGGAGTATAACTTGCCACTATGCATAGCGTTTGTGGACTACGAGAAGAGAAGAGAACGCCAGTATGTCGGTTCGAGTACAGAACCGGAACACGAGGGATATTTTTTTGCAGCGAGGTGTAAGGCAAGGACGGTAAGGTAATGTAAGGCAAGGACCAGACCTAATTGAAATAAATTATTTTGACTTTGACTTTGACTTGACTTTGACTTTGAAACGTCATATCTCCAAAACTGTTTATCGCTGCATTGGAAGACGCCTTCAAACTTTTGGAATGAAAAGGATCTGGCATCAACATCAACGGCGGTACATCACACACCTCCGGTTTGCCGACGACATTGTGGTCATGGCAGAATTACTGAAGGATCTGAGCACACTACTCGATGACCTCTGTAGAGTTTCTCAACAGGTAGGGCTCCGAATGAACATGGAAAAAACGAAAGTCATGTCGAACGCCCATGTTACGCCCAACCCGATATCACTTAGGAGCTCTACCCTCGAAATTGTTGACGAATATGTATACCTGGGACAAGCGATCCAGCTAGGTAGGTCCAATTTCGAGAAGGAGGTCAATCGTCAAATCCAATTTGGATGGGCAGCGTTCAGGAAACTACGCTACATCTTCTCGTCCAACATACCTCAGTGCCTCAAGACGAAAGTCTATACCAATGATGAACTATGGAACTGAAACGTGGTCTTTCACTGTGGGCCTTATAAAGAAGCTCAAGGTCGCTCAGAGCGCTATGCAAAGGGATATCCCTTTCATTCATTTTGCCCGAGCAAAGAGACCCCGAGGTCTCTTTGCGAGATCGGATAAAAAACGAGGAAATCCGCAAACGAACAAATGTCGCCGACATTGCCCAGCGGATTAGCAAGTCGAAGTGGCAGTGGGCATGGGCATAGCGCGTAGAACTAACGGCCGCTGGGGCAGAAAGATTCTCGACTGGAGGCCACGTACCGGCAAGCGCAGCGTAGGACGTCCATTCGCAAGGTGGACAGACGACCTGAGCAAAGGTCGCAGGGAGCCGCTGGATGCAGGTCGCTTCCAACCGGCCTACAGGTCTACCATGTCTTCAGATAAAAGTCCTGTAAATAAACAAAAAATAAAAAAAATACGTCTTTTATTCCCGGAGGGGTAGGCAGAGGTGCGGCATTACGGCACTTAAAGCCGAGTCCCATATAATAGGGGATGAACCTATAACAATATACCCGGCTCATATTCAGACTCCGTGCTACCACTGAGATTTTTTTAAAACCCAGTAGTATTTTTCCCGGCCCGGGGATCGAACCCGATACCTCTAGTGCGGTAGTCGCATTTGCGAACACTTGGCCAACGAAACAAATCTTTACTAATAACGATATAATTAAATTGTAATTATTATCTTCAATTGATTTTGATTCCCATACTGTTTGTTCAAGTTCCAGTTATTGACTCTAATTGTTTTGGTCAGAACCAAGATCCCACGCACACTTACACACCATTATGTTAAATTATGTATTATGTTCTATTTTATTCTTATTTATTTAGTTATTTATTTATTTATTATAAGATTATAAATTCTAGTTTGATTTGTAGGTATATATTACATTTATGTAGGCATATAATACATATATTTATATATTTACATCCTACAACCCTTTTGGCGTCACGCACGTCGCGCAACATTACGACGTCCCCCAGTTCCCCTTAATTTTTTTAATATGTCTTGATGAATATTGCTTAGTTATTCGATTTCTAACTTTGTAGGATACGTCATTTTCCGATAATTTTATTTTTCACGATATTCTTCTTGCAGTCATGCTGCAACATTTTTGAACCCCAAACAATGGTGATAACAAATTGGGTTCCTAGATATATTGATCGTGATTTAATCATGGCATCGGCTAATTAACGTCCCCACAGCGTGGATGGTATTTGCGAGTGCAACGTTGCCAGCTTTGAGTTCACTTGTCTCTTTCTTTTACTCTCTCTTGTCACTCGTCTGGTAGTACGGAGTTTTAACATTATTCCAATATTCGTTAAATATATCAATACATATTTACTAATGCCCGATAATGATAA